TCTGGTGTCAAATAGCGATGACACGGATGCACACACCTTCTAAATGCTCTGCTAGTGCTCGCCATAATGAATAGAGATAGCTCTTACTTTTTCCTTGGAATGCACGCTTCAAACAGAACAGTCAATGAAGACGAAGAAGAGAATGATGTGTGCTCCCGGCGCCTATTTACACTATAGTCGCACCGGTAGTACGTCATGGCTGTCGCCGGCCAACGAGTTGGTGTTTTTTCAATGTATGCTTCAGACACGGGTCACGACGAGGCATTCCCCATAGCGACCCCTAGAGGACGCAGTTCAAAGTTCCCATGAAAGGGAACGTCTTTTGCTAATGAGCGTACAATGACATAATAGCGTGCAGTGGTTCTTGCATTGGAGCAGAATGAACATTTTAGCACAGTGGCACCAGCAGACTTAATTCTGCGAGGGTCCCAGCAAAGAGCCATGTCAGGACTCACGACACTGGAGAATGTAAAAGCCTGGGATGAAACATAGCTAATGCCAAGAGCCTTGAATTAAACATTGGACGGATGAAATATGGCTATTAACCAGGCATGACAGTCATCCATATGGGCTTCTTAGACCCTGGAGAAAGGGCCACTAAACATTTGAAGTGCTTGCATGCACACATTTAGACTAGAATGATAGAAATGCGAACAGTTAGAGATACTAAAGAGGAAGAGGAGCTAAAAAGGATACTCACTGCATTTCTAGGATATGCATTTGGCTTTATTATTTAGCTAGCTTTATTATCGATGCATGTCCTTGCAACAGCATGTCCCGATAGTACTGCATCCTGCATACAGGACGCCCCCCTCATGTATTCATTACTTAGCATAGGATAAGTTTATACCCAAGCGCTGGAGCTTGACAAATCTGAGCGTTGCTTATTCAGCCCACCTCTGTCACTCTTTCAGGTGTGTTTGCTAGCATTAGTCTGCAAAATCGACCTGGAAAAATCGCACACACAAATGTACACACATATTTTTATGCCTTGTTACTTTCTTCCAGCCTGTCAGAAGAGTGAAAGTGAGGCTTTTCAGAGCATGAAGGGAGCCTCTTGTGGGAATTGGGCTCCACATAAACACAACATAAAGAGTTGTTGAGGTTTTGATCTCACCGTTGCTTGTGAGTGATACCCACCTACACTCCTCCAGCAGTGGTGAAGGGGGTCCACGTGAGAGAAAACGCGCGTCTGCTCATGGTGAGTGGTGGAAATGTAGGGAGGGATGTTCTGTGTGCATCTGTATGTGTGCCACGGCCCACTGAGAAGCTTTCAGATGCATAGAGATACCCGTTAAGGATCATACAGCATTTTTAAGCTCAGATTCTGGCCGTTTTGGGAGTTCACTGCTTTGTTTTTCCAAATTAAAGCCACACTTTATGAAATAATTTATAAGCACATGTTCCAGTGTTCTCATTTATTGTTTATAGGAGTTTGTGTGGATATTACTGTCCATGGGACGCTCTCCATTTCGTCTTTTATTACTGCTTGCTGGCAAGGGAAACATTCGCTACATTCATTAACCCTTTTAATCCTGTGGGCATTTATGAGTTGCCGAAGGCTCTACCACTGTTTTTCTTGCTGTGAATATTGTTTTGGTTGCTATAGATTTAAAAAAAAAAAGGCATATAAGTAGACAACTTTAGGAAAAGCTTTTGACAACCTGCTGGATAATGTGTCATGTGGTGGGTAGGTTGTTTTCACTGAAATGCACCTGGCAACTTCCTTATTATCTCAATCTTTGCATAGGTTTCTATGGGAGTTTCTATATAGAGATAGAAGCAGTCCACCAATCATTATCGCAGAATAAACCCCCGACAGCATGACCAGAGCCCCTGTTCACCGAGTAAATAAACGAACATGCAGTAATGATTCGAAATTATTTTATTATGCAAGCAGAAAGATTTTGGAGTGAAATAAAACACTTGAAACTCGTTGCCAACGGCCAGACATTATGCAAAATCAAACATTATGCAAAAATACTGGATAGCAGAAGTGCAACACTGCATAGTATGAGGAATAATATAAATAAATTGAATTGCAGAAATCTCCGGAATAAAAAAAAAACTGGGCATTAATGGGTTAAGTTCAGAAATTTAGTGGTTTTAAATTTAGAAATTTAGTGGAAACCTACACTATTGTTCAAAAGTTTGGGCTCTGAAATATTTTTTAAATAATTATCTGATATGTTCACCAAGGCTCCATTAATTTGATCGAAAATACAGTAAGAAGAGTAATATTGAGAAATGTAATTTATTTGTGTGATGGCACAACTGAATTTTCAGCATCATTACTCCAGTCTTCAGTGTCACATGATCCTTTAGAAATAATTGTAATATACTGACTTACTCCTTAAGAAATATTTATTTTTATTATCAGTTGAAAACAGTTGTGCTGCTTAATATTTTGTAGATACCGTGATACATTTTTTTTCTAGGATTTTTTGATGAACATAAATCTATTTCAAATAAATACTGCAAATAAACTTTATTTAACATTATATAAAAATGTCTTTACTGTCATTTTGATCGATTTAATGCATCAATGAATAAAAGTATATGTTTCTTCCATTAAATAAATAAATAATAAAGAAACTAAATAAATAAAAATCTTATTGACCCCAAACTTTTGAAATATATAGTGTAATTGCATAATTTACTATTAAAACCTATGTTGTGCATCATCCATTTCTTACATTGTTTTTGAGTAATTTTCCTCACATGGTTCACGACTGTCAGTTCCACTGACTTTCCTCTCTGCCTCTGGCTCAGTGTATATAGATCAATGATGCCTGAAAGAAGTTAGCAGCTTGTAATTAGTCTTCCGCCTTTCTGGAGGAAGAAGACACATTCTGTCTGTTTACATTATTCATGCAGAATACATTATAGCCGAGCCCCTTTATGCAACTGGAGACGTTCATTATGGTCAAGAACTGTAAAATACCGTAACACCAGTGTTGAGACTTCACACCAGAAATCATTTCAGCGAACACAGAATGTGCCGAGAGTTACATTTATTAAGGTTTATGACTTCTCCTATATCTGTACACAGCACTAATTCATGATGCCATTGTGAAAGTGTGATCACATAAGAAGCCTGAATCCCTCTGTAAATCCACTGAGCGTTGTCTAAAGTGTTGCATAATTTCCTTAAGTTATGATGTCATCGGACAATATATAATTTTATTGTTGACCATAATCAGAGTTTCTCCTGGCAGGAAACTTTCCTGTTTGGTGGCGCATCCTCTTATTTTGTTTTGGCGGCTTTAATTGTGTCCCCTTGGGCTCTCCGCTGGCAGTAATTGTGAAAAATGAGCTGGTTTCTGTCTGGTGCCACTTTGCTCAGACGGCACCCCGTATAGGCATTAGCATTCTTGTATTTAATTTAGATGTAAATGTGCGAGCTCGACCCCTGGATGTGTACGTGGCATCTGAGGGACCAGCCACACATTTTCCCACCCCGTGATCAATTACTAGCGGTGAGCTAAAAGGATGAAGGAACTCTGGGTCATTTATTTCCCACAAGTAAATCAAGAAAAATAATGACAAACATAATGACAAAAGCACCGTTGGCCATGTAACACGTTTAGCTGGACTGACCTCGTTTTTGTGACAGAGAAAGCGATTTTAGCCTTTGAAATGTTATTTGTTAAAGCTGTAATAACTAAATTACGTGATCGCTAACAATAACGTGATAATTTATTACAATTTCACCTTGCTTTCTTTTCCAAAACAGATTATAATACTGTGAAAAAGGACATAATTTATGCAACATAGTCACATCAATAAATTAGCATTAGTTCTGCTTTTTTTTAACTCTTTATCACTCACTTTAACAACAGTGAGGTAAATATGTATGCTGATAGCTTGGATGTGGTATATACATTGTAAAAATAATTTTTTGAAGTTTTGTTTTACAGTAGGTTTTACAAAATACTATTTCAGTCTATCTACTTAAGAGATAATGTTTATTTCAGTGTGTTCCTTGCTGAAATTTGCTGTCAGTTTCTGAGTGAAATTGTTTCAGAATCCTTTTTTTTATCCGCATAGGCTGCAGTAATGTCATTTATTTATATTCTGAACAAGACGTTTGCTATTTTTCTGTGACTGCATGGATTTTCTATGTACTCTTCCTTAACTTCTGCTTCCCACATGGTTCGAGAGGGCCAGCATGTTGGTAATCCTGCTGAACTGCGTTACTCTGGGAATGTTTCACCCTTGTGAGGACAGCCACTGTGACTCAGAGCGATGCAAGATACTGGAGGTAAGTCTCAAACCTAGAATACACCACCTTTCGTAACCTGATGTACTTTAAATAGATCAAAGAACAGATGGTAAACAAATTCAAATGTAATTGGACACAGACTTGAAATGAACTCCGTATTAAAATGAAATCCAACGAGTGTTACATCGCAAAAAAGGGAGGTTATTTTGAGGCGTTTGTCGTCGTCTCTCGTGGAGCGCTGGGTTTCTCTAGATATCCTGAAGCATGTTGTGTTGAATGACTTCCAAGAGACACAGGAATGCCCAAAACCACATGTGGTGATAGGCAACAAAGAGATCCTCGCCTGTAATTCAAAGCAGATTATCACAGGAAAGACACTGCTTTGGTTTAACATTGACTTGGGAACATGGCTCAGGGACTTTGATTTCAATCTGCTAAATTCCTTTTGCATTGTTTAACAGATGAGTGTTTTGCCCTAAGGATTTCAGCTTTGGATGTTCTGCTATGGATGCCTTTTATCATTCTGGGACCCAGCAACAGCTCACCTTTGTCCTCTATAGAGGACATTGATATTTCATATAAATATAAATATTGGGGACATTGGTGGAGGACTTTTTTTTTCTTTCTTTCTTTTTTTTTAAGAAAGTGAAATTCAGAAATTCAGCAAGACTGCATTGTATTAATTCAAAATGACAGTAAAGACTGTTCTAATGTTAAAATTGATTTCTTTTTCAAATAAATGTTGTTTTTCTGTATAGTTTTCTTACTAATACTTGTATGGTAACACTTTAGTATAGGGACCAATTCCCACTATTAACTAGTTTCTTATTAGCATGCCTATTATTAACATTGGCTGTTTATTAGTACTCATAAAGCACATATTCTGCATGACCATATTCTAAATCCCTAATCCTACCCAATACCTAAACTTAACAACAACCTTACAAACTATTAATAAGCAGCGAATTAGTTTATTGAGGTCATAGTTAATGGTTTGTTTGTAGGATATCAGACCGAATCAGACAATGTAAGATTTTTGATGTTATACGGCTCGTTCAATGAATCGCTGGCCGTCTCAGTGATCAGCCGTAAAACAGTGATTCTGTCCAAATTCCCTTTAATATCTTAAATGATTCCCTTTGAGCTAAATTGACCTGTTTCCCTTACAGTTAATAGCAAATATTGGACCTTAAAATAAAGTGTGACCACTGGTATTAATACTAATAATATTAATACTAATATTAAAACTGGCATAAAAGGCCTTGGAAATTGAAATGTACTATTATAGATAATAACAATAATAATAATAATTAATAATAATAATAAAATTCATGGTAAAGTGTTTTTAAATTGTAACATTTCACATTTTTATTGCATTTTTAATCAAATGAATGCAGCCTTGGTGAATGTAAGACTTCTTTTTAAAACATAAAAATCATCCATTTCGTCTCATTCTCTCCTGATAACCTAAAAAACCTAAATGTTGCAAAAAAAAAAAAAAAAACTTTAGTTTTGTTAGATGTATTTTATGCTCCATATACTGTCATGAAGTGAAGAAAATTATAAATTCCCAAAACTTTTTTTCTGGCTCTTAGAAGTTATATAACAATTTCAACCTCTCTTCCTCTCCTTGTGATTCCTTTAATGCTATGGGGGTGTCATAAGCGTTTGGAGGACTATATAAAAACAAATGAGCCTGAAATGGCCTGGCCCTAGAGAGGATTAAACCACATTAAATGAAGTGCTTAAAACACGACTTCAAAGCCACTCATCCAGGCAGCCATTGTAATCAGGCACTTCAGAATACAATGTGACTGATTGTGACATGAGGTGAATCGCCTCTTATTTCTGAGTTATTAAGCTAATGGTTGCTGTAATGAATGATACTAATCTGTGATCTTTACATTGTGACAGTGGGGTCAAGTTCAGTGTACAGAGCGTCGGTGAGACGTGATTATAATATTCGGTTCAAAGGCAAACTATCACATAAATCTCATAACAATGGTGCAGTGGCTTGCCTCCAGACTGCATATTAAAATCAATATTGACATACTTTTGACATAACACTTGATTAGTGCACATTATTTAGTCATATATATGTATAAAACACACACACACACTCCCTCTCTCACAAACACACACACACACACATTTCTAAATTCAAATAAATGCTATTTTTAAGATTTTATTCATTAAAAAGAATCATGAAAAAAATGTGCCACGTTTTCCACACAAATATAAATCAGCACTTCTATGGCGTTATTTTAATGACAAATGTCGAGAGCGCATTATTGTACCGCGAAAGCACATAAATATAATACGCGAGCGTGACTCTCTCCGCTCGCACGCAGATTTTCTTTGCTCTCGCACAAAACCGGACGCGCGTGCTCAGATACACGCTGCTCTTGCTCAGAGAGAGAGTGCGCTCACTTAAAACGTGTCTCTCCTCTCCCTCAAACTGTCCTGTGCACTCGCAAATCTCTCTATGCTCATGCGCTAGATATTAATTATTTTCGCACCTGAATTAAACGTTGTCAAAAGTTATTATGCACTTTTAAAAAGTAGTCTCAAAACAGATCTGTTCAGGGTACAGTTATATGACAGTTACATGTAATTACATTGACTGTAAATGCATTAAACACATATAATATAATATAATATAATATAATATAAAATAATATAATATAATATAGTGTATGACAAATATGAGAAATTCATTATAGTGTTATATTTGGTCTCCAAATCTTAAGTATCGGTATTAAGTATTATGTAGGCCTATCTTAAGTATTGTGTATCAGTCCAAGTACACAATACATATGACCACAAGAACTTCATATGCTTTTTTGTTTGTTTAGATAAATCGTTCAGAGAGGTTTGACCAAACTGTTAAACTAGGTTATTTCCAAATCATCGAAGCATCCGATTGATTTCTAATATTTGATTATTATGACTAAGTAGTATTAAATTATAAAGAAATTACAGATCCGTCTTTGACATCTGATTGGTTGATAACTTTTGACAACGTTTAATTCAGGTGTGAAAATAATTAATATCTAGTGCAAGAGCATAGAGAGATTTGCGAGTGCACAGGACACAGTTTGAGGGAGAGGAGAGAAAACGTTTTAAGTGCGCAAACTCTCTCTGAGCGAGAGCAGCATGTATCTGAGCGCGCGCGTCCGGTTTTGTGCGAGAGCAAAGGAAATCCGCGTGCGAGCGTAGAGATTCGCGCTCACGCATTATATTTATGTGCTTTCACGCTACAATAATGCGCTCTCGACATTTGTCATTAAAATAACGCCATACACTACTGTTTTCACCATTGATAAGAATATGTTACTTGAGCACCAAATCAGCATATTTTAATGATATCTAAAGGATCATGTGACACCGAAGACTGGAGTAATGACTGCTGCAAATCCAGCTTTTTCGAATAAATTAAATTTGAAATTAAATCAAAATAGAAAACAGTTATTTTAAATTTTAATAATATTTCACAATATTTCTGTTTTTACTGTATTTTTTTAATGAATGCAGTTTTTGTGAATATAAAAGTCTTAGAAACACTAACAAAAAAATCTTACCAACCCCATACTTTTGAACAATAATGTATAGCATTTTTTTTACTGTATATAATATGAGAATAAAATTGCATTTACACTTTAATAATTTAGTGTAGTATTGAATAGTATGGATATTGTTAGTTTGGCCATGGTAATACAGATGAGGTATATCTATTTCAGAAATGTACTGTATATTGGAATACCCATGGTGCACATTTACAGTGTTAAAACTGAAATGGGATTTAGAGGCGCTTTCTTGCTGTGAGTTTCCTGGAACCATCATCTTTTACTGTCCACCATGCCTGGTGAGATTGCTTTCTTTCCATTGAAAATGCCAAGTTTTCATTGGGATCTAATGGGAACAGATCAATTTCTTTGTTTGATTTTTATTCTATAAACTTGCATTTTTCTGAAATAAACCCGTAGCACAGCTAAACCCCAGTTTTTGTGCATTCCCCTCCCTGCTTCTCATCTGAAATAAATGGCCTGGGCCGTTTCATCTCTGAGATCTGAGAATTTACAGCGATTATCTTCTCCAACTGCTCTATCAAATCACTCTCCCTCTTGCCATATGGAAATTAGTGTGCTTTGCCAGAAATAAGATTGCAAACCTGGTCATCAGGAAATTTACAAAGACATACAATCAGCTCCTATCACTGTCAGGGAGACACGCCTGGGCTCCATAGCTGACGTGACTCAGGTTAACCCTCTGCATGAGCTCCGAAAGAACGCCTTTGGTGGAATAATTGAATTCAGGGAAATACAATAAAGCTGTGGAGCATGCCTGCCGTCTCTCTCTTTCTCTCTGTGCCCATTCTCTTCTGCCCACACAACACATTATCATTTATTTCTTCAGCGCTTTCCTCTTTCCTTTTTTTCCTCTGCAGGCATTCCTCATTTCTTTTGGAATTTTTTTTTCTGTCATTACATATCATTCTAAACACATGACTTTCCTCTGTAAAACACAAAAGAAAACGTCGTCTTCTTCCAATTATAGTGAATTTAGTCCAGTGTTGTTTTGGACCCCATTGGCTTTTATTGCATGGACAAAAACAGTCTTTAAAATGTATTTTGTGTTTCACAATAGAAAAAGTCGTATGACATGAGTATGAGTAAATAATGCCAAATTTTTCATTTGTAGGTGAACTAATCCTTTAAGTATACCGAATTCCAGCATTAGGATGCGCATGTGTGTGTTATTATGCAAGCTTTAGTTGAGTAGAGGGTGTAGATAAGTGGTTTCTGGGGCAGAAAAGGAGTAGTATCATATTTAAGAGGAGAGTCAAGCGTCAAGTACTGTGATGTAAACGGAGCTCACTGTGAGTTTAACAGTACTGATTGAATTGGCTGTTATTCTTTTGCTTTATCTTTATTTTTCTCTCCCTTTTTATTGCTCCCTATAAGTGTGTTTGTGTGGATGACGAGATTCTTATGCATGGTTTGAACTACGTAACTCTTGTACAGTACAGTATGATCTGT